AAATAAATCTCATAAAATCAGTGAAGTCAAAATTTGTACGTAAAGTCTATCTATAAAAAAAAGTCAGATTCAAAATTCCTTATATAATTCCTTCTTTTTCTTATCTAATTCCTTCTTTTTCTTATCTAATTTCTTTTTATTATCTAATTGTATGAAAATCTATTCTGATTTTGTTCAATCCTCTAATTGTAATTGTATTATATTCCATAAAATCGGTTTAACAAAAAAAACCCATAACATCCGATAAGTAAAAAAACAAAGTACGTTAAATCTTTACTAAAATAAAAAGGCTTTATTTATTATCTAATTGTATGGAAATCTGTTCTGATTTTAATGGCACGTACTACAAATTGTGCACCTATGTTCAGGAGCTACTTAACGGGCAAGCTCTGTGGAAATGACTCATTTAGTGCTTCTGTCCCGTGCATACGGTATGTATTTTTATTACACATACTAGAAAATTGTGCACCCCGTACATTGCACGGACTCTGTTCTAATAAATTACCTTAAAATTGAAAACCCCGTGTATTACCGTGTTCACATTTTGACCTATTACAGGCACGTACTATATATATTCTGTACATTTTTTTTTATTCATTTATATAATTATAAGAATGGATAAATGACCTTAAAATTGTGCACCTCGTGCATCGCACGGGCTCTGTACTAGTAATACATTATAGTGTTTATGTATTTTTGTTTTTCAACTTGGACCATAACCCTACTTAGTCTTGTATGTGGGTACGCCTTCAGCGGCGAGGCGAATCACAGAATTTTTCATGAGCTTGAGCAACAAAATTACTTATCATTTTAAAAATTAATTCTCTTTATATATAAAAAAAATCTTTATAATATTTTTATTCTTTGTATGAGGTGATTTAACCGTTATGCATGTTATGCATTCTGATTCATTATATTTTATTCAACAAGAATGCATACTTATGCTATGAAATATTAGTTTCTTATGTTAATTTTTAAATTGTGCTTTAGATTGAAAGTGTCACATTCATTTAAAAAGTATAATTCTCTAAACATTAGGTCTGCTAGACAATATATTGCATGTATTTTCGGGGCTAAATTTCATTTTTAGTCCACTATGTTGACCATTTTCCGAAAAAGGTCCATC